CACCAGAAAAGCTTCGTGCGCAGCGCCCGCCACCACTTGCACTTGCGCGCCGTAACGTCTCTGCACTGGCTCTACCTTTAGAAAAGATAGGTTCCCAGGCGGCACCACGAGGAGGTTGCAGAGTCCGAATTTCGCCGCCCAACTTTTCGGCGTTGTACTCGCCCTTTCCTGCTTTGGTGGAAACCGGAGTCCTCGATGTTTCAATTCCACTCGAATCTTCCGACTGTATTGAGCCTGGAACCATCGCCAAGGTGTCAATCCCAGATGTTGTCAACCATCCCAGTGTTATACAAACGTGCTTACCTCCAATGTCTCGGGCCTTGCGCAGGTCGCCACCAATAGAATCACAGCTGCTTAAGATGGCCCCAGCAACACCTCGCAAATGGTTCCTGCCTCACCCCTCCGAGCATAAGGAGACCCAGTGCGTCAAAAGCGCGAAGTTACCGGAACCGAGAGCAAGTATGTCACAGACATGGCCAAGCCCCTCGAGAATAAGCAAAGTATACGGAAATCTTTCAGGAAGGCTCGTTGTGCAAACCGTTAGATACTCCTCGAGGGTCCTGCATTGCTGTCCCCCCCTAGGATCAGCAAATGAACGTTGTCCTGCATGAGATGCGCCACAACGACATCCCGGACCAGGCCACCACCGACAACGTTGATGTGGGTGAAACGGACGATCAGGACTCGACTGGCACGGCTCATTGGCCTACGTGATCACCCAGAAGCGAAGAAACATTCATGTCGCAGCTTAGTGTCCGCTGTGTGATTAGCCACTTGTTCTTTTCAGCTCTTCGTCTTCTGATTCGGTCTCGAACACTTATCCTTTCCGATATACCAACTCCTCTCTGTTCGTCAAACTTCACGAGAGAATATGCTCAGATGACGCAAGAAGTCCTCGGTGGCATGCGGGTTGAGTCGAAGAGATGGGTTGAGGTTGGCCCCAAAGCTATCGGCGACTTGGTAAGTGTCCCCATCCCTCCCAATTAAGGGTCTATCTGGCAACCTGTCTAACGGTCACACTTGGCGCACCTTTTTCGTGCATTATGTCGAGTGGGATGGCAGCGATTTGAAAAAAGCTCGGATGGGCTCGGATTCTTGACCCGCTCGTGTTGAAACTCCCCCTCGTCGAGAAGGACACGAACCGCGGCGTTACGGACCGTACGATGTGGATGCGACTTGGCAGATTCACCCAACGGAACGGAGAGCTTGATTAGAAGAGTGACTTTCCACGATCGGACCGGGCTGTTTGATGTAAGTCCAGGAAGCTGACATCGCGCCGCATGAAGTGCAGGGGCACCGCAGAGATCCCCGGCGAGCACAATTCCAGCGCGTTCCGAAACTCGCGCCCCCCTCCACCTCCGAACTAGAGGCTTTATATCCAGGAACACGCGACGGTCCACTGCGAGCCCTCGAGAATACTAGCCCGGAAGGTCATCGGTAGCTTGAAGTTTCCGTACAGGTCATCCAGTCTAGGGCTCTGCGGGTTGTTCGACAGAATAGCCCCTCAAATCAGCGCGTCGTCCCGATACTTCAAGCTGCGACAATGCTTTCGCTTCCGTCGACTCGAAAGGGCGAGCTTCCGTCAAGTATTTCGCCGGGAGTACGCCAGCCAGCGACTTCGTCACTCGGATTCCGTCTCGCCAGGTAACGTGGTCGATGGCGCTAGCTCTGTTTGGCGATGATGAGCTGCTCCACCATCTCAAGTTGCCGGTAGCTTCATAGGTGCACATTCTGTGGGTCAAGTAGAGGGAGGAGACGGCACAACTCATTGCGAAGCAGCAGCCGCTGCCGCAGCAAATGGTGGTGGAGGTCGAACGTCATTTTGCCCCCCTCAGCCACCTCCCGCCCCTTTGCCGCTCATTGGCGCCCATTGAGCAGCTCCTGACCGTTGCCTAACACCATCTGGCCCATCAGAAAGGCCAACTCAAGGCTTCTGGTTGCATGGAAATTCAGGATGGTAGCAGAGGCTACAAGCTTGTGGACAGGACGATCTTTGGTGCGGAGAGATCGAAGTTGGCTCGAATCCATTCTGATACTATCGTCACCACTTTACGACCCGAAGATTCATTCGCTGATGATTATGGCGCGTCAACGGCCGACATTATGGAAAGGCATGGAGACAGCCCCGTCACTGGTGACTCACAACGAAGAACTCAACGAGGCGGGCGAGGTTGCCGGTAGCGATCTTGCGCATGAGCGCGAAGAGAGTAACGTGAACATCAAGTCCATCCTATCTCATGATGGTGACAAGTCCGAGGTGGGCGATGGCGATCCCAGTCTGGGAGGCTGTGTCGAGTATGCCAGACTCCAGGGCCAGGGGTAGTACTCTCATCCGCTCATCTAGCGCCTTGCTCCCTTTCAGCCGTGTTCAGTTGAAGTGGTCAACTAGGCCCTCCGGCGATAAGAAGTCTGACTCCCCGCTGTCCAACTTGAGCCCATGATCCTCTCACTAGAATACGCTTGCATACATGCCTTGAGACATTCCAGCTAGACGTATCCACCACAACAAAGCCCCCTTAAAATGGTTCGGTGAGCCCCGGCTTCGACCTGGCGGAATGTGCTCTCTCCCACCTAAGCTGTGGGCAATACTTCCGGCGCGGGCCGTTTTGCACTTCCACCCCCCGAACAGGCCTTTCCAACACCCCTGTTGCGATGAGGCCTTTTGTTGTCTTGACTCGGCGCGTTGTGGCCCCTCAAGCTCCGCCTCCTGATGTGATTGAAACCCACGTCGAGCATCAAGCCTCCTTTTCTCACCAACCGGGCCGGGCTGTCCCTCCAGATCGAGGGCCGGTTCCTGGTCATGTGGATCAGACTTCAAGCTCTCCAGATTGGTACCCCAGCTGCACAAGGCGTGGAGACTACGATTACGATCACGGCAATCACTCGCCAAGGACGCTTCCACCGGCACTGGCGGTCCCAAGTCTGCAGCTCGCAAGCCTCCCTCAAGACTTCCAAGGTCACGGCTAGCAGATTTTCCTTTATTCGCGGCCGCTCGGGATACGCGATCTGGATTTCAAAATGCCTGCGCCAGCACTTCAAGTTTCTTGCTACTCTCCCAATACCTGCACCTGAGTATCCGAGCACGACTTATCTTGACTTCTGCTTCTACTCTGCCGCAAGTCTTGACGGTGTCCGTAGCATCGTGTTGTGTCAGGGGTACGAACGCGTCGAGAACCGCCAGTCTTGCGTCACTCAGATTCCTTTGAGCTGCTGAAAAATTCTTCTTGTCGCGGGCAGGCGACAAATTGTTTGGCTCAGCTTCAGGGCCGGGTGTCCTGTTGCTCGGTGCCGGTTGTCGTAGGTGACTCCACCGTTTTGGGAGAATTTGTCTCCACCTCCTGCTCCAAGTAGGCCACGGTGTTGTTGTCGATCATCTGCATCATCTCCCCCGGCACATCTTTTGGTGCCTTTCGGATGCTGGCTCGGTGCTGCATATCAGGAAGGCGTCTTGAATGACGGCGCTCAGCTTCAAATTGTGGCGATGGTATTCGTCATCAGCACCATTTGGTCTGTGTTGCAAACTTTGGTCACAGAGAGACTGGCGGTAGGTTTTTTGAGCGAATATTCGCGCCACGACGAGTGACCCATGATGGACACCCTCAGCTACGGCCTGTGCAAGCATGCAGAATGCGTGGCAAATACCGAAAGAGATTCCTCCGTGGAGATGTTCCACACGCGGCCGATCTACTCTTCGCCTTTATGCCATCGAATGAGTGCCTGCACGGCATCTGATTCCTCGTCTAGTCGTATTGCTTCACCACCGAAGTATCTCGCGGTCCAGGAAAACGCATCTGGTTAATAAACGGATCGCAGGGAGGGCTTCGGTTTCGACTCCTCCTCAATTTCCTAGTAGGCATGATGAGGACAGGTTAGGTGGTAGTGGGCGTTGTTCTTTTTCTTTGTCTCCGACATGTTTGTGCAGATGGAACAGCTGGACGCCGGAAAACACCAACGTCACGAAGGTGGGCTGACCGGTTTGTCGTGGGACAGACAAGTGCCCATAATGTGAGGTTCCAGCCATGGCTGCCATGGCGTGTCGAGTGGAAAGCCTTTTCTCCAGCTGAGCCGCCCGCGGATAGACCATTTTTCCTCCCTACCTTAGGAAAGGCGACGACGTTGTCACACTGCTGCACTGCTGTGACTGGACGGGACCGTGGCACCTTGCACAACAGCGCTGTGGGTGGGTGAGTACCTGGGTAGCCGCCAGCCTGTGGATACCTACCGATTTCAGGGCTAAAATCGGGAGGTACCTTCTGTAAGTACAGTGAGAGTGCAGTGGATATCTCCCGATTTCACCACTACAAATCGGGAGGTATCAGCAGTTTGGTCAGAAAGCATTCACCCCGGCGCAGACCGTTAGCAGATAGTACCAGAGCATGCTGCTGCTCGGGCCGGACCTTGATGATACGGCACCGAGGCTGGATTTGGGTTGGCATGGCGCACTATCAAATTACCGGTTGGTGATTCCCACCCCACGTTTTGATCCACATTACATAAGCCATCGTCGCCGTCCGTCCCCTGTTGCAAATTACACGTCGCCCGAAGCATGCGTGCGGATGATGAACAAACTTGACGATTTTGGAAGCAGTGTGTGAGTAGCAAGCCCAGGTAGCATTCCTTGCTGTTGGAATGGTGATTGATGTATCCACGGAGGGAGGGTCGTTTTCGTGTGCAACCGGGATTACATGAGTGTCACGTCAGGAAAGGGAAGGTGGGGGACCGTTGTGCACTGGCACTTGCCTTAACGTGACCCGACTGTCGCTGCGGGTCCAAGTCCCTCCCTTCATCAGGGGCTCAGGTAAGTACGTACCTCCGGCCAAGACCACCGAAGTCCAACCAGACTCATCGCCCACGATGAAACCGCACGCTTCCCTCCCAGTTCCGTTTGAATGGGATAAGCAACACCACAGAAAGAGTATTTGTGCGACAGGGCAACCATCTTCTGTGTCTCGCTGCGGGGCAAATTGACGATGCTCTATGTAACCGCCTCCTCTAAGTGCCCAAGTGGTCAATCCGCCAACCAGTTCCGCTGGCGAGCGATGCGCCCACGGGTCTGTTGATGCGTCCCGTGGAGGCCTGTGATGTCGCGCGGTCACGTCGATTGGCTTACCCGAGGAGAAAGGCGGAGCTTTCATATTTTTGATTGGCACGGACTGCAGAGGCAGGTTGGCTGGACTGGACGCGATCGGAGAACACTGAGATATTGACGGGAAGATGGTGCACGATGTCTGCCCGCCCTTCACCGATCCTGACCGAGACTGGTGGTGGGTCTGCAGTGAATCACCGAGATTTCATCTGGGGACGCAGGCACCTACCTGTAGTGTACCTTAAGGTACCCACTGAAGGTAGTGACGATGAAAGGCAGTCGCGTGAGATGTTCCCGCGCCTGCATATGACGCAAATTCCTCACCACAAACTGTGCAGCTCCTGCCCTCTCCTGCATTCCATTAGCTGAGGAAGCACCCTCTCGACGACAACGCCTTCGCTTTCGATCGAAGAGTCACGGGCGACGCCGGCGCCAGCACAGAAACCACGACCGTCATCGCAAATACCACTAGTGAGAGCCAGCTCTCCGACCAGCCTCAGCCCTCTGGCGCTCCGCTTTGCAAAGAGTCGAACGACAGCGACCAGCAGCAGCGCAAAGGCACCGAGCCGCAGCACGACGGTCAACACCAGCGTCCTCCGAGATCACCCTGCCGGGTGCATTTACCAAGCGCGCCCGTATCGAGATGGACATCGTTGACGATAGAGTGCAGCTACTGCAGCAGACGACTGAATTGCGAGCCAATTCGCTCAGCCAGCTGGTTGACGCTGTCTTGACTTGCACGCAGAATGTGGGTTAGATTCAATCGTCCGAGCTGGAGCAGATGCGCGCAGAGGATTGCGCATCCAAGATGGAAGTACTTCCAACCCTCCTCAACAACCGTCAAGTCATCCTAACATTTGAGATTACCTGTGGACACTATGCACTTGCGTCTTTAGGGGTTTCCGGTATCCGCGGCCAACTTCGTGATATCAGGATCTCCGACGGATCGCCATCGCCCGCGCGAGAGGCCGAGGCCGAGCACATGATCACCTAGTTGGTGAACAAGTACCTGCCTGACGCTTGATACGTGTACGAGCAGAAGATTGCCCCCGCAGGGCCTCCATTCGAGAATCAGACGCTATGCAGTCGGGAGTGGTAGCTTTGGTCGTTGCCCTGACCCCAGCCCTTGGTCAGGATCGCCCCATTCGAATCCATGCGCCTCTCTGGCGCCATGTCGCGGCTATCTTGTTGGGATGCGACCTTGAGACAATCATTCGAAAGGAAGTGGGAATCCTCTCATCAGGAGACGTTCTTCTTCTCGTGCAAGCTTTCAGCGGGCATGGCATTTTGGCACTGGGCCAACGCCTCAACGATCACTGACCTCAAATAGTGCTGCAGATACAAGAACAAAACACGGCTTTCATGATCAGACGAGACATGGGTCTGTCGAGCAACTTGCTGCGAAAACTCGAAGATCAAGCCGCCACGAGGACAGAAGAGCGCCTTGCATCACTGCAGGTGGCCCGCTGGAGTGTGGGACAGGCCTTGGCCTTTCTAGAGAGTGGCGTTTCGGATGATTCAGGCATGCTCTTCGGGGATCAAGGTGATTTACCATAGACATAATTACGGGCGAGAATCAAAGATGTTGTCCGCACCCGTGGCGGTGTTCATGGCGGGGGTGCAATCTCTGTGTTGTTGTGTTGGTTGGCGTTCTGGACTGGGACGGCTGGGTGTGCGGCGGTTCCAGCGCTGTTAGTGGATACATACCGATTTTAGCGGCTTGAATCGGTAGGTACCGAGCCACTGTAAAGTAGTTACAGCAGGTCAGGCGCTGTGGCGGCCGGTGCACAGACTGCCTGCGGAGACCAGCTACTGTGGTCAACCAGCTGCGATTTTCAGCAAAGAGACACCCGACCAGGCGGGGATGAGGGGGTTTCCGTACCAAAGGAGGCAACACAAAAAATGGAGCGCGCTGCTTGTTGGCTGCGTCGTCTGCTCGTCTGTCACCAAAAATCACGCTGCGTCATCATCGAGTTGGAACCCGACATGCCGGAATGTGTGCCAACTTCAAGTGCAGGAATCCCGTAAACTCCGTGATGGAAATGGTCCCTTGAGTGGTCCGCACCGGGCAAAAGGGCGAAAATGGTCCCCGCAGGAGCCGGCCCATCGGGGGACCGGCTGGGCTGAAGCCGCGGCAATTGCATACCGGCGACGGAGAGACTGCAAGTGACAGCTGGTGCCTTCCCCAACCCCGTCTTTCGTCTTCCTCTCGCAGTCTTTAGGTATGGAGAACACCCGAGCTGGAGATGGACACCGCTCTAGATACTTGGGGCTGGTAGGGACTAAATAAGTGTAGCAGCGACTCCACCCGTGGTAACGACTCCACCGACGGCAGCGACTCCACCGACGGCAGCGACTCTACCTATCCAGGTACTCTAACGTGGTGCAAACCCAGTCTGACCTTCACAGCATGAACCGCCCCGTCTCGTGGACCACTGTCATACGTTTTGAAGCACAGTGCACACCACCCGGCCGGCCTCATCTCACGGTTTTCTTGGCGCGGCGAGATGGCGGCGTGGGTATGCGATGAAGTAGTCTCTTGTTAGGACACTCACCTTACCACTGTAGCGGAGCAAACTCCGGCGGTGGGGCACCAGCCACGGTGACTGCAACCCCCACTGTGGTCTGTCCAGCATGGGCACCCCTGTGGGTATGAAGGGGAGTCGTTAAGCCATTCAAGTCAACCTCCTTTCCGCTCGGTTGGACGCGCCAAAGGACTCGGCTTCCAAGTGTTCTTGACCCATCTTTGCAATCCCGAGAGGCCCTCTGAAACAGTCACAGCAGAAGAACATTGGAAATGTCCTGTCTGAAAAGCGCACTCGAATTGAGAGACAGAATACTGCAAATACAGCTAGCAACTTCATGATGATACCGAATGAATCAAAACGCCTTCCAGACAACCCCCAAGGTTTCTCCTCCATCCTGCTGTTTCCTTAGCATGCAACGATAGCGCTCGCCCTCTGCGGATATTGGACACTCGCCGTCCCCTTGCCCGCCCATGGCTTTCCTACCCATACTAAAGCAGTAGCTGCAGCATCAGAGCTCAACCGACTGGCTACGACTCGAATGAATCTGGTCTTCTTGCTCGTCGACAATATAAACGACTCTGCTGGCAGAGTCTACGAGAAAGTCGACCTCATCCAACAGCGCTCCATCGATCGACGCGGGCACTCCGAGCGCCACGAGCCTCCGGGCGAGGCTGATAATCTCCTCCATTTTCTCATCGTCGCTCATGTGGTGGGGCTGAACTTGTTGGCAGCTTTTTGGGTCTTCTGGCTTGAAGTCGAGCATCTGGGTCTCCTTGTGATCGGAACCACTCTCGGACTCGAAATCAAGGGTTCGGGATTCGTCGTCGTCGGAAGGTTGGCCGGCGTCGTAGAGGTTGTGGATCTGGATCTCGTCCTGCCAAGACATTGACCGTCAGCTGGGCCGACAACACTTTGGGAATACATACTGGACTTTGGCGTTCAGCTGAACTGCCAGAGATCGGACTAGCGCCTCTCATGGGGGACCAGGGACAGGAGGCGACACCACGGGCGGTCGCGTCATCGTGTCGGTCCGTCATGCTGCTTGCGGGTTCCATGCGGGTGGACATGCTCTAAATGCACGCGGCAGTCTGATGCGCGAATTGAGAGGCTCGTTAAATTTGTGCTGTTTCTGAACAGTAAATGTCTGGATGCGGTTGTTGCGGCTGGCTTGTATGGCCTTCGTGCGTGGTGTGTGGTGCAGTGCGTGTTTGGTCTGGGTCTGCGGGGGTGGGTCAAGGAAGGAAGCCGCATCACGGACGACCACTCCTTCCTTTTCAAAACACGACATCAAGGCATCAGCAGGCGAGACTGCGCGACAGCGGGTGGGCAGGTGCTTCGGACCCCACCATTGTTCATGTCGCGTCGCGTCACACTTCGAAAATCCGCTGAAGCTCCTTCTTTTGGCAGTTGCGTTGAACGGTCCTGCCTCCGGCACAGTTCGAGTGGAACTGGAACTCACGGTTGGCCATCACATCACGTCTGTAGGCTTCCCACCGCCCTTTTCTTCCAGTTAAACAATTCCGCCAATTCCGAAAAGCAGCCCCCGCGTCCTGTAGGTCTTGAGTGTCCGTCATCAAAACGATGTGGTCCTGACAACATGGAATAGGTGCCGTTGCTTCGTTGAACGGACGGCTCGGGACGATCCACATCTCGACATGAACTTGTCCAGTCCGCCACTGTGAATTCCCTGCCAAGGTGGCTTCACCGCAACCGTCTGAATGCCAACTTGATCCCAAAGCATGCCCTTCATCCTCGACTATGACCATGCCCATATCCATACCTGATGCTGCTGAGTCCATCCCTGAACAAGTGTGGACGCACAGGTCTGCAAGCACAAATTTGCACGACAAGTCAAGTGTGGAAAGGCAAGTCATGCTCACTGCCTGATTAGGATTCGTCATCACCTATGATTCGTTGAACCTTCACCACGGCAAGCCACCTTGCGTCAATTTGTCTCCAAGAATGGTTGGTGGCTCAATGCCGATTTGGCAGTTGTTCGGCCATTGGGGCCCCAAAGAGAGGCTCTTGCGGGACAAGACTTTGCAGCATCATGTCCGCAGCATCATCACTCTGTAAATTTCCGGAATCTGGAGCCCGCTGGTGCTGTTGGATTGGTTCCTCCCGATTGTGTCACTAAAAATCGGGAGGTATCCACTAAACGCACTGTAATTATAGAGGGTACCTCCCGATTCTAGCTCTGAAATTGGGAGGTACCCACTAAGCGCGCTGGGACCCGCTGCTGGGCCGTCAACACACCTGTCTAAGATGGCTCCTCATTGCATTGCGCCTGTCTGTGTGTTTGAGGCGAAGCACCAAGTTCACCAAGTATTAAGGTCACGAGGCAAGGCAGAGCTGACGACTGCTATTTTATTACAAGAATCTCAAACTCTGGCCGTGGTGACACTTGCGCTGCCGTTTCGGCAAGAACGAAATCTCCTCACAATGTATGGTGCAAACCCTCCGACAGCACACCGACAGCCTCAAAATGGTTCCCGCGCCTGGGACAGCCACCTCCTGCCACGTGAAAGAAAACTCCGCAGCAGCTCGATCGATGCGCGGAGTGCACAGAGGATGGCATCATACGCTTGACGACTGTCTTGGCACCAAAACTCGGCCCAGTCGTCAGCGGGGCTGTCCGGCCGTTCCTCGACCAGCAGCCAGGACGGAGGACTGGTATCGCAGCTCGAGCGGCATTCATCACAGTCGACGTCACGGTCTGCGGCTTGCGGGCACCAGGCCGAGAGCTCTACCGTCTCCAGCAGTCGTTCTTCTTCGTCTCGGTATCTTTGGAAATGTCCTTGCTTGGCCAGTCTCGGAGCGCGCGCATATCGCGAGTATTGTCTCGGGGTTGCAGTATGTATGGTCGAGCGGTCCGTCTCGAAAAAGCGGTCCGAATCTGCGTCTAGTAGAGTTCAGTACTGGTTGTTCGTCGACACATTCAAAGGCGGCAGACTTACCTGCGACGCGTGAAGGCTGTCCTCCACCTCCCGCATTCTCTCTCGACGGGAACGGGCGCCCTGAGGCCTTCCCAGCCTGCTAGGTCGAGTCGACTTCATAGGGCTCCCCTACCGAGGTGGTTCGGAAGCCATAGGGTACATGAGTTTGGCGGCTGCATGCCGAATCGTCGGGCAGGTCGGTTGTAGACCGGCTGAGGCGGGGCGGAGCGGAGGCAGATTTGGCTGGGGCGTGGAGGTGCTCGGAGCGCCAAGCAGGGTCGAGAAAAAGCGAGCGGTAGGGTGCAAACATTGTCTCGATTTAGCGCCGCAATTTGCCTAGAGTTTTTGTTAGTAGACTCTGTCGCAAGGCTGGCGGGTGACGCCGTGACGGTTGCTGCCGGTCGAAATCGAGGGATGGATGGGGTGTTGAATCGAAAAGGCGTAACTTTGGCAAACACAAAAGGGGACGACCTGAGTCAGCGTGCCTCGGCCTGGCCCAAAATCTCCCACCGACGGGGGAGCTTTTGTGTTCCGCAGAAAACTCCCACTGGACTGGGCCACCAAGTAGGCAAGTCCAGTGTCCGTATGGACCTACCTACCTGCCTTGCCTCACTTACCTTGCGGTACGTACCTCGGCAGAAGATGGCAGCAACCAAATGGGACCACGCACTTGGGAATCGTCAAGGGCAAGACCTCAAACCCCTGGGCAGGTCAAAGACTTTGTGCGAGCATTTCTTTGATGCTGCGACATATCTTCTCGCACAGAAGCACAACAATGAAGTCCAACCACCTTCAGCTTGCTTTTTTCGGCCAGGAGCCAGATCTGGGGAACTCTACTTCGCCCCAGGTCAATGAAGATGCTCTGTCGCACATCTGTCTGCCCATGGCAAGCCAACCTAATGTGTGACGTGCCCCGAACGCAAGCGGAGTTGCATCATCTTGCCACGGGCCCAGCCGAACTTCGAACACCGCTGCCGTCTTCATGATCTCGCCACGGTTTGCAACAGTCATCATGGCCGGCGAAGAGATCCACAAGAGCCTCAAGCATCAACACGATGTCGCCCTGTGGGGTCATATCGCCGCCACTTCGTCCGTCTGTCTGGGAGGCTTGGCTTCGTCCAGATGCTCTTCCCATGGGCGGCGAGTTCAGGGATACAATGCAATGGAGCGACGTTAGTGTTTCAAGTATGTCCCTTTCGCCCGCCCGCCAGTACATCGTCGCAACGATTTTCGTTAAGGAGAGGTCTTACATTGCCGCCATCGCGAAGTCTTCACAGATAATACGCTCTATTCCGAATGCTTCATCTGGCCCTGTTGTCAGAAGGCCGTCCGCACAAACGTCATGTTCACCCATGCCCCGACGAAGTCCAGAACACTATTTCAACCTTTGGCAAGCCTCGCACCCTCGAACATCTTGCTTGAAACCAGTATGCCACCGGAGATACATGGATTGGCGTCATGGTCAGTGAGTGGAACGGATCCAAGCCTGCCGGCAACGATCACATCATCAGCGAATGCACGGTGCAACGGCATTCGCACAACCAGCAAGGCTGTTCATGAAGAGGTCCGGGAGACATGTCCGAGTACTGACTTCCCACATGTAACGGAGAAGCAGGGCTTTCTGTGGCGACGCAGCACCCCCTTCTGCAGTCGTCGTGATACACATGCTCGAACATGCCGTCCATCGAGGTCATGACTGCGTGTACGCACGACTCCGCCACTGAGCTGCTTGACAATTTCCTGGCGGGTGACTTTTCTGATGCTCGCTTCGCGAGCGGCATCTGCGCGAAAGCCGTCTGCTTGGCACCGCCCGTCCCAACATCTTTCACAACGCATGCTGCCTCAAGCCTGTTGGCACACCTCGAGACGAAGACGAAAGCTGCGCCCATCAAGCTTAACCACCCAACTCTCGAGACTGAATTCGATCCCGTCCACAGGCGACGCACTTGAAAGACGGCAGGACATTTTGGGCGGAATTGTCTGCGTATTCGAAGATCGGGTCCAGCTACTAACGCCGCGTGTGGATTGCGTCCACCAAATCAACGAACATTTCCGGAGCATGGAAATACTTATCACAGAGAGACCCTCAATTCTTCCTGTGCGAGAGTGATTAATTTCTTCCGTGGGGTTTGTCTGCTTTCTGCTGTTAACTTGTCTACGCCGAAGGTGTAGACAATCCTCGTCCACTTCTCCGCGATGCCAGCGTCTTGCTCACCGACGAGTGACACGGGCACAGCATCGCCGACACTGGAATGAGCGGTAACCCATCGCCAGCGTGTTCAAACACTGGAATAGAGCCTCTGTGACGTGGGAACTTTTGTCTACTTGTGGTCAACGCCGAGACAGGTGGCCACGGCGAAAAAGAACCCAGTTGAGGATGGGGGAGAATGGGAAATGGAAAGGTTGCGTGTTGCGAACAGTTACTCAAGGTGGCAGTCAGGGAAGGGGCGGACAATCCGTGGTTGCAAGCAATAGGCAGCCTGGGGCAGGTGAAGTGGACAAGCAGGCTAGGCAGATGACCGTTCTGGCCAGATGCACCCTCCCCCTTCCAAAAAAGATCGAGTGAGCGAGCCACAGCTGAGACACTGAAGTTGGAGATCAAGGAGACATGTCCGCTGAGCTCAAACTGACGATTTGAACGACGACAGAGCCGCCTAGCAACCATCTGCTCTCTCTCACGCACCACAGAGTAATGAGTACTCTCACATCACGTTCCCAGAAATGCGGCCGTCAAAGCGCCATGTCGATCTGACGAACCAAGAATCATCTCTATTCCGTTGCCTTCGAAGGAGGAGATTTGGGGGAAGCTTAGAAACAGGAAGACGAAGAGGAAGAGGTTATGCATATGCTAGATGGACAGCATCAGCTGATGTATTGATGATTTTTTCAGGCAGGGCCGGCGCGTCTTGTGGGAACGAGACAGCAGAAAGGTCCAGACTCCAGAAATACAGATTCGATGGTTTGACCATTCATGTTGGGAATTCCCAGCAGAAGGATGCAGGAATGACCGGTCTTTTTGATGCCGCATACGACTGCCAGGGCACTGGACTTATGGCTGTGCGTGAGGCAGGCTGCTTTGTGTGATCTTTCTCAGTATGTCT